AAAAGCTAAGCGCTCGGATGTAGTAATAGTGGCCGGTGACTTTAATGCTCAAGTAGGTAAACTAAGCGATAGGGAAAGACACCTAGGTGGATCTTATGGTGTCGTGGCTCAAAGAACAGATAATGGCGACCGTCTGTTGCAGCTATGCCCAGATAACCGCCTGTTCCTTGCAAATACTAACTTTAAGCATAAGGAAAAACATCTTTTAACATGGCGACCCCCTAATTCGTCCCAACGTTGGACCCAAATAGATCACATCGCTATCAGCCACCGATGGAGAGGCTCGATAGAAGACTGTCGCTCATTCTGGAACACATGCTTAGATTCATATCATGCTCTAGTGCGAGCGCGTATTTTCCTGCGTCTTACTGGACGTAGGAAAGACGCTGCAAGGAAACCTCTTAGGGTCCTGTTTAATGATAGTCAAACTAAGAGTATATTTCAGGAACAACTAGGAAAACAGTTAGGCAGCCATGTATGTGATTCCCACCCCGATGCAGCATGGAATGATATCCCAAAAGCTGTGGAAACAGCAGTGATATCTGCTAGTAAGGTAAATCAGAAGGTTAGGGAGCAACACTGGATCTCAGCAGCATCTATCGCACTGATAGATGCTCGGAAACTCATTCCACCTGGCTCTGAACATAATGAAGAGCGGAGTCAGCTTAAGCGCAAGCTGACAAGAAGTCTACGCAATGATCGTGAACAGTGGTGGGTAGCGAAAGCAAGAGAGACGGAAAAGGCAGCGGCAATAGGTAATAGCAGACAATTGTTCAGACTTATTAAGGAAACCGGCATTAGGAAGCCGACTGTTAGCGAAACAATCTCAGAGAAAGATGGACATATTATTCATTCTCAATCCAGGAGATTGGATCGATGGGCAGAACACTTGAGGGATCAGTTCAACTGGCCTTCAGCCACAATTCGGTTTCCCATGATCTCCAGTCAACCTGAATGGCAAGTTAATGTAGGTCCTCCGTCTCTTTACGAAGTTGAAAAAGCCATAGGAAATCTGAAGCGAGGGAGAGCAGCAGGCCCTGACATGTTTACTCCTAAGATTTTTAAGGATGGTGGTTCAGTATTAGCAGTGAGATTAACTGAGGTCTTATGTAGAATTTGGGAACTGGACGTAATCCCATCTGACTGGTCTCAATCACTGATTGTGCCAGTCTATAAGAAAGGACAAAAGTCCTCTTGTGACAATCATGGAGGAATCAGGTTGACTAATATAGTGTCTAAAATGTTAGCTTCAATAATACTTCGACGCCTAATCAAAGCTCGTGAAGAGCAGACTAGAGAAAATCAGGCTGGCTTTCGACCTGGACGTGGTTGTATAGATCAGATATTCACACTACGTCAGGTTCTAGAACACAGACACACATTCAGACGCCCCACAATGGTAGTATTTCTCGACCTTAAGGAAGCCTTCGACTCTGTTGATCGTGAGGTTCTATGGCAGTGTTTGTCACTGAAAGGAGTACCAAAGAAGTACATTAACCTTATAAAGGCTCTCTACTCGAACACAACTGGTAGAGTAAGAGCTTATGGCGAACTGTCATCAGAATTGACTACCTCAAGTGGTGTTCGTCAGGGCTGTCCACTCTCCCCATTCTTGTTCAACTTTGTCGTCGACGTACTTTTAGAGATAACACTCTCCTCATCTAAATTTTCAGGGGTTGAACTTGTACCGGGAGGTTCATTTGTTGACTTAGAATATGCAGATGACATAGTTTTATTTGGTGAAGACGCTGACAAAATGCAGTCTTCTGACCACTCTAAGCAACAATGCAAGCATGTTCGGGATGCGATTCTCTCCCTCGAAATCCAAAATGTTGCTTCAGGATTGGGTTACATCGACACCCGAACTAGTGATAGGGAGTGAAGTAATTGAGTGTGTCGACCGCTTCACTTATCTTGGAAGTCTCATCAGCCCTTGTGGTTTAGTGTGTGACGAAATCTCAGCACGGATACAGAAGGCTCGACTAGCTTTTGCTAACTTGCGTCATTTATGGCGTAGGCGAGATATCCGTCTATCAACCAAAGGACGTGTTTACTGCACAGCAGTTCGTTCCGTCCTACATTATGGCAGTGAAACATGGCCGGTAAGAGTAGAGGATATCCGCAGGTTACTAGTATTCGATCATAGGTGTCTTCGAAACATTGCTCGTATATCATGGGACCATCGAGTAAGTAACACAGTTGTTAGGAAACGGGTACTAGGTAAGGATGGCAAATCAATTGATGAAGTAGTGAAACTTCATCAGTTGAGATGGCTGGGACACGTGTTACGTATGCCCAACGACCGACTGCCTCGACGTGCTATGTTCAGTGGTATAGGAGTAGGTTGGAAGAAAACTAGGGGCGGCCAAACCAAAACATAGCACAAGTCCATGAAGTCACTGACAAGTGGACTGAGTCATGTTGGTAGATGTAGACTACCTGGTTGGGGACCGCGAGATGATAGCAACCGATGGTTAGAGACCCTGAATGACATGGCTCAAAATCGTTTGCAATGGCGCAGATGCATCCACTCTCTGTGTTCTCCCAAATTCTAATCTTCTGAATTTTTCATGTCCCTTTCTTCCTCTTTCCAAATTTATTTCACTGGATTATACTCTTTAAATAACATCTCCAAACCCTAATCTTCTCGATTACTGCTTATACTCTTATTACCTCTACCACTACGGGATTTGAATCGACAACTGCATCTCTGTGCTAATGTGGTGTGGCAACTCGAACTGATGTACGTACGTACGAAGTTCTACGTTGTTACTGACTGACTGACTGACTTCACTCCCTATTCTCAACACAAGCAACTGAAGCAAATTTTTGTATTTGGTGAGAGAGAATCTAATCTTCAACATGCTTGCATTGTTGATTAAGGTATCCAGAGGACTACTTTTTCATGGTCTTCATTGAACAGAACTACGTCGTCTGTATATTCTAAATCAACAAGAGAATCTCCTGAAAGATCGATTCCCGATAAGTAAGCATGATCAAAGTTCAAATATTTGCTCCAAAACGGGTGGTAGTCTTCTATATAGCCTTTTCAACGATGGTTGATGGCAATGTAGTCTAGTTTTGGTCGCAGGTCAGATAACGGGGACCGTCTACTGCAACTTTGCGCAGACCACAACCTGTTTCTGGCTAGCACTAACTTTCGGCACAGTCATCGCCGATGTGCCACCTGGCGTCCTCCCTCTGCATCTCAAGCCTGGACTCAGATTGATCACATCGCGATCAGCTACCGCTGGCGTGGTTGTGTACAAGACTGCCGCTCCTTTTGGAGTACCTATCTGGACTCTGACCATGCCTTGGTCTGCGCCAATCTTGCCTTACTTTTCAGTGGACAACGAAGTGAACGCCATCAACGGATTGATGTTAGCAAGCTGGTTGCAACTTCTGTTGCAAGTAAGTATCGAACCGAGCTAGCCTCTAGGCTAGCTACCACTCCACCGAAAAGTATAGATGAGCATTGGTTGCAATTGCATGACGCCATGAAAATGGCGGGAACAGTCAGTTGTGGGTTTGCGAAACGTCCCGCTTTTAAGCACTGGGTTTCTTCTGGTTCCTTACAACTCATTGAAGCCCGTCGGTCTACTCCGGGTAACCGTGAGTTTGACCATAAACGAAGGATTTTACGTAAGGAAATCGGGCAAAGCTTGCGTAAGGACCGAGAAGCCTGGTGGTCGATGCGTGCTAATGAGCTGGAAGCAGCAGCTGCATCTGGTAACTACCGGAAGCTCTTCCAACTCATCCGAGCCACTGGCAGCAAGAAGTCTGGTGTGAGTGAAACAATCTGCGAGGATGATGGGATGCCAATCACTAACATCCATCGACGTCTTGGACGATGGGCAGAATTTTTCGAAGGGCAGTTCAACTGGCCTGCTGCTCCGGTAACATCGGTCAGACTGTCCTGCCCTCCATGGCCGGTGACGACTGATCCACCAAATGAGGAGGAAGTCCGCAAGGAACTCCAACTCTTGAAGCGTTACAAATCACCTGGCCCAGATGACTTACCTCCGGCTCTTTTTAAAGATGGTGGTGACTTTTTGACTAAGGAATTGACGACGTTGTTTACAAAGGTTTGGGAACTAGAGAGTGTACCAACGTCATGGAATGAGTCGATAGTTGTCCCTATCTTTAAAAAGGGTTCACGTCGTTCTTGTAACAACTATCGGGGGATAAGTTTACTTCCGATTGCGTCCAAGCTATTGGCTTCCGTCATTCTTCGTAGGTTGTTCAAAACCCGAGAAAGATTGACTCGCGAGGAGCAGGCTGGGTTTCGTTCTGGTCGAGGATGTATTGATCATATCTTCACCCTCCGCCAAATGTTAGAACACCGCCATACTTTTCAAAGGCCAACAATCGTAGTGTTTCTTGACATCAGGGCTGCCTTCGATTCGTTGGATAGGACTGTTCTCTCTATGCTTGTGAAACCTGGCCTCTCCGAGTTGAGGACGTTAGACGACTCTCTGTGTTCGATCATCGCTGTCTCCGAAGGATTACTGACATTCAGTGGCAACACCATGTCAGTAATGCAGAGGTTCGGCATCGTGTGTTCGGGCACAGAGATGATAACTCAATTGGTGTCTTCATCTTGAAACACCGACTTCGGTGGCTTGGACATGTTCTCCGAATGTCGTCCCAGAGAATTCCACGTCGTGCATTATTTGCCGACTCTGGGACTGGTTGGAAGAAGCGGAGAGGTGGTCAGTGCATGACATGGTGTATGTATTAAGCTACAACCCACACGTGATGTATAATGATGGGCTTCACTAACTTCCTATCTAAACAAATTTAGGTAAACTGAATTCAGACTTTTGACCCAATAACTACAAGTTCATGTAGTCCAGTTAATGATTCATATTCTAACAGAGAAAGACGATCAAAACAAACATCACATGATATAAAGTTTTGCATTTGATAATTTCACGAGGTATTAACAATATTAAGATATATGAACATGAATTAATTTGTGTAGAAAAAAAAACGCTTACTTGGAGTCAGAGAAACAACGATGTATTTCCTTATCTGCAGAATAGCAACCCTATTAAAAAAAAAGAAACATTAGAAATGCAAGTCATTCACTACCTAGAACCATACCTCAGCTGGGATTAAATCCTACTGATCGTAAGTCTATCAGGAAAATAAATGCATATAAGTCTTACACTGAATGTAATCAAGATGTAAAATCTGAGGTAATACCACCGGTAGTAACTGAGAAACCCAAGTGTCAACTAGTGAAGTTATGAGCCAGAAAATCTAAACACAGTTTATCTGCAGTTTAAAGCTAAGGCCAAAACTGCATTAGCTGAATGACCACAGAACAACGTAACGTTAGGAATACTTAGTTAGGTATCCATAGCAGGATGTACTTGTACAAGGCTTGGATAGCCAAAACTAAAAAATGTAGGAAAACGTTTGTTGGGCTTTTTGAGAAATAAAATTATCTTGCACATATCTTCATAAATTAGAAGTTATCTATAAGAAAAACTCATTATCATCGTATTTCTATTATCAGAATAAATCCCAAGACAAGCTGAGGCAATACTTATTACAAACCTGGAAAATGATAAATATCGACTGAAGCTAGAGATCGAATTGTAGAACTGAGAATGACAACATAATCTAATACATATGAACAAAATTTTACCCGTCAATGTAGTGTATTAATAACTACATTTTAATAAAGCGATTTAGATTACTCACAAGTAGCCCGAAAAATATTGAAAAATAAAACCATGTGAGGAAATACTACTTATGACAACGTATCGATAGTCATCTATCTTACCCTTTGAGATTGTATAAAAGCAGTGTATAGCAAACCATCATTCCCACCACAAAATAGATTTCCATTATTGTCAGGTGAAGGACAAAGGCTTAACAGCCCACCAGAAACGTTTGTGAGTAATGATCCAAGAACACAACCATCATACAAAGCATATATCTGCAAAAAGAAATAAGACCAATAATTATTCCAATTGTCTACCAAAAAGCATATGCTAAGCAGATATGCAGTGGATTAGAATGATAACTCAACGAGTTGTCAGGATTTTGGGTGCAGATACTTTTGAAACTTATTAACAGTCGGTTTCCTTATTAGTCTTATTTAGTGTAGATTGAACTCTACATGATAAAACGTATATGACACGACTTCGAATCAAGCAAACACGGTTTTAAAGGTTAGCCTAATTCTGGTTGGCAATAAGCATCGGCAATTTTCACAGGTGTACCACCTGACGTCCTCCCTCTGCATTTCAAACCTGGACTCAGACTAATCACATCGCGATCAGCTACCATTGATGCGGGTATGTACAACACTACCGCTCCTTTTGGATTACTTATCTGGGCTCTGGTCATGCTCTTGTTTGAGTTAATCTTATCTCACGTTTCAGTGGCCAACAAATCCACAGCCCTAAATGGATGGATGTCAGCGAATTGGTTACAGCTTCTGTTGCGACTAAATATCAAACCGGGCTAGGTTCAAAGCTAACTATCAACCCACCTAAAAGTATAGATATGCACTGGCTGCACATGCATGTCATTATGGAAACGACGAGTACAGTTGCTTACAGCTTCGCGAAACTTCCCGCTTATAAGTACTGGGTTTCTGCAGGCTCCTTAAAATTTATTGAGGGGTGACAGTCTACTCTGGCCAACCGTGAGTTTGACGATAAACGCAGGCTCTTACCTAATGAAGTTGTGCAACATCCGAGCAGCAGGGCTTCCAAACCTCATCACTCATCTTTGACTTTGCCATCGATGACTCCCTAAAAACAGCCCCGATGGATGTAGGTAATGGTGGTGAGGATCTGTTGAGTGGAGAAAAACTTTCTGACCTTGAGTATCCTGATGACATTGTCTTACTGCGCGATGATACCCAAACTATCCAATCCACACTTAGTCAGTTGCCAATCAGTGTCCGTAGTTATGGCATTTGATTTGCACCTTCCAAGTCCAGAGTACTCTGACAAGACTAACAGGACTCGATGCCTACACTCACTCTTGGTAGTGAGCAGTTAGAAGTAGTTGAGAAGTTCGTGTATATGGGTAGTTGTGTAAGTGCTGGTGGTGACATGAGTAATGAGACCAATTCATCTATAGTAAAAGCCAGAGTGTCTTATACCAATCTAGGTCATGTTTGGCGCCTTTGTTATGTTAGCCTGGCTGTAAAAGTTCGGATTTACAACGCGTAGGTGAAAGTAGTTTTGCTATATGCTTGTGAAGCCTAGCCTTTCTGAGTTGATGTTGGACAACTCTGTGTTTGACCACCATTGTCTCTGAAGGATTGCTGACATCGAGTGGCAACACCATGCTAGTAATGAGGAGGTTCGAAAACATGTGTTCGGGCACCATCTCGAAACACCGACTTTGGTGGCTTGGGCATGTCATACGAATGTCGTCCGATAAAATTTCACATCATGCATCATTTGCCGACACTGGGACTGTTTGAAAAAGCGGAAAGGTGGTCAGTAATGACATGGTGTCATGGTATGAAAGAAAGCTGTACATGACTGGGATGTTTTGGACTTTCACCACACCCAGGTTGGGGTCCTAGAGAAAGTCCAGGACAGTGGCTAGAGACTTTATCAGAAATGGCTGTAACTTTCTTCGTAAAAGTGCTAGCCATTTCTTTAAATAAAAAAATTCTCTCTGGTAGCATTTTTCTCAACTGAACCGTTTCTCTCATTATTTCACTCCCATACACTAAGTCATATTTATTTTATTTTTTTTATTATTTTCACTTTCCTTTTTCCATCTCGTCACCTCATTTTTACTGTAAGGTGTACATATATTCTGGTGCCCCCTTGTATCAACGTTTGTGTTTAAAATAAATAAGTAACGCTGAATGGACGGTCAAAACAAGCAGAATCTTCTGACTTTATTTGTCAATAACGGAGGTTTCATAATCTAGAAATGTTTACTTTCTTGGAGTAACTTAAATTCGTAAACAAGTGTTTTTGTGTACGTCAGTCCTAATTGACATCCAAACTGACAAACAAATCTAGAGCCAGTATTACGCTTTACGAAGAAAACGACACCTAATGACAGTGAAGTAGTAAAAATTGTCCGCAATGGAGCTGACCTCACTAATAAGGTGATACTTTTGACGTTGATGATTATGTAAGTAAATGTTAACTTCCTCAATAAATGGGTGTCAATATCTTGGTTGCAAACACTGGTATTTCTGTGACTCGCCTGACGCACCATTGTGTTCATGGGACACTAATAAAAGTTTGCTCCCCTCCGCTGCACAGCTACATGAAACTTCTGATGACGAATGGAACACGTCATTGTTTGGATAAGTTCCTGCGTTATTGAGAGATAAATACCAACTTACCTTAAGACCTTGTGATCCACCCACGACAACTATATCATCCATAACTGCACATACAGGATGACTAGTACTTGCTTGAATAACATACCAGAGCGGAAGATGTTTGGCACTTGATAGATTGGCATTTGAATGAGACTCAACTTCAGTAGCACTCTGTGTACTCATCATGTTTAGTCCGTTGATAAGACTCCCCAAGGACCAACAAGCTAGAAACCCAGATATATCAGCGGAAACAAGAAACGCTGGCCCGTTTGAATTCCATTTGGACAGTTTCATTTCACATATTCTTGCAGAATGGGATCCTTCTAAAACACCCATAAGGCATCCACTCACAGTCTTAAAAAGTTATGGTTAGTGTGTTAACCTACCTGGTATACATAAATTTCCCTATCAAATGCAACGATAATATAATTTCCATCGGGAGTGAAAACAAAAGCACTAACTAATCCTTTCGTCAAAATATTTTTGTGCGCTGAGGTCTAGTAAATACATATAAACAAGAAAAGAATAGATTACAGCACTATTAAAATTCCAAGTCTGTATAATAGGTTTCCTGGCAGCTGCACAAGCTACACCTCCGAAGTACCCGGTGATAGACGATTTCGAAGCCATATCACCAGATAAACTAGCGACTGGGTTTCCCCCTAAAGGATCCCAAACAATTGCGGCATCGACCTGTTTTTCAGTTGTGGTAGTAACCAAAAGCGAATTCATAGCTCAGAATCTAATGAGCTTACACTAGAACAGTATTATTGAGGTCTGTAGAATAGAAATAAAAGAAGAATCTTATTATGAAGATGTTTTCGGAGACATACAGAAACTAAGGCTGGTATCACTAACTGGGTATTTTAACAGATAATCAAGTAATACGGTCACTTACACAGATGTACTTAATTTATTTTCGTTCCAGATTAAACTACATTACGTACTTATAAATCATTATGAGTTCAAATGAACCTTGCATTCAATTTAAAAATCATATCGGTTGAAGAGGCTCCATGATCAATGACATTTCTTGAGAGCTAAGTGATAGTAACAGTAGTTGGTATGAAGGGCGAAAATCTAATTTAATGTGATCATATGTCAACCGATCACATTATTTCTAGTCTTAATTCCAGTATTGTAAGTAGCACACTGGTAAATTTTGAGATATGGTAGTCGAAAGGACGTCAACCTTGCAGATTTAAAATATACCTGAGCAAATATCGTAGAAATGAAATGCAGGAAATATGGCAAATGTATGCTGCTGACAACTGAGTGACTTATCAGATAGTGAATGTTTATTTATATGGAGATTCGTAGTGACAAGTAATAAATCTTGACGGATAAACAACTTTGACTTGATTATTGTTTTCAAGTTGAATTATTTGTTACAGTAAACGAGAAAAGGCTAGGGTTAACTACTAGTAGTCAAGCAAGAAGGTAAGGTTGGGGTAATGTTAGGATTTCAGATTACAGTGAAGAATATTTTCTAGACACACAAACACCCCTGACTATAAACTGAATTAAGGCTAAACAAGTAATTAGGATAGTCTACACCAAGAACATGGTTTTCGAGTGATTCTGCATAAATGCCACATCAAAATTACTGTGTGGTGACACAACAGATGTTTTTCAATTTTAAACATCTTAAGAGATAAGTACGCAGTATGGAAGTTTAAATCTGAATAGACAGCATAAACTATCACTGACTAAACAAATTAGTATGGTGTTTTGGATCCGAAACACTGTCCTTAATTTGTTTTTGAGAATGCGTTGCAGTGGTGTACACCGTAACACGCCTAGTCTTGTCAATATTTATGCGCTAGTTTAATCAAGTGTGAGCAACCTGTATATATATAATCTTAAGTTACCCAACGTTAACAAATATCTTACATGTATGATTCGAAAAGCATAAGCTGTGATGTTTTTTAAACATTTCGATTATACATGCATATTAAACCAGTGTGCTGAGCACTTTCAAAGAATAAAATTCGTTGAGACTGTAATTAATGGACAAAACAATGCAACTAAAGATAGCAAGTTCTGGATTTAGCGCGAAACTCACTTATCCAAGCAGTCAATTAATTTTTTTTAATTATAGCTGCTATCGGTTCGTGAAGGACCTTGCATTAGTTCCTAATCCCAAGTTCTAACAAGTTCCTCATACAAATTTGTAACTATCTTCTGACCTTAGTAAGTAGTCCCACGTTAACGTCGCTAAATTGCCGACTATTAATATATATACATACATAGAGTCCTGTTCTTTGCAAAGAAAAACATATGCGCTGAAATGGATTTTGAGAACTCGAAAAATTTGTCCAGACCAGGAACCGGATTTGTTGAAGCCATAGTTTCTCCTCAAAAATGAACTATCGAATATCAAGCCACAGCTACTTGATTTTCAAAATTAACAACATTCACAAGGACCGGTGCATACTCACAATAGTGCATCAAAATAAACAATATATTGGTCACAGTCAATGTATAGCACCTAAATATGTTTTCACTATAAGCAGAACAATCTGCGACCATATCTAAGGTATGGAACGTGTACCCAAAAAAATCCTATTAACTTAGTTTTGGGATCAGGAAGTAGCTTTGCAAATATATCCAGAATTAACCTTGACTGTGCGCAGTGTAGAAATAATAAGGCAGCGCTAAAATATTTCGCGGTACTCACATAGTCCTTGTTTTCTGATTTGTCCTTCCCAAGTCTGTAAAACCGCGTTTACCAATGCATGTGACAAAATACTAAAACAAGTTTCATTCAAAACTCTATCAGGTGATTAGAAATCCTGATAATCTCATACTAATTATCGCGATAAAGAGAAATGTGATTCTATCTTGAACAACATACGTTATATGTGGAGTGGGAATGGATAGAATAACAGCATTGTTGGACTTTCACTTTGGAAAGGAGAGAAGGTTAGATGGACCTATGTTAGTCCTGAAAATTGTGGTTTCTTAGTTCATCCAACTTTCTTCCGAAAGCATAGACAGATGAAGCTTGAACTACGTGCTGAGTTAATGAATCAATTTCGTTGATGATTCGATAGGAAAGTCGATAGTCAGCTGACAAGTAATTTGATCTGGATTTGTAAAAATTTTTGAAATATCCTCGTTAAGTCCCCGTTTCAGATGACAAGCAAAGCGAAGAGATATCAAGTGCACATTTATCACTGAGTACTTTCAAAAATGTGATGAAGTCGCCTCTCTATATGATAATGGAGATAAGTTTAGTTAAGCGAGTAGAGCGTGATAAGGGAGACTTACTATCCCAGGAATCGGTTTGTTTACGGTTTTTTGACCTTATCCAACAGCTTACTGTCTCTTTTTGGGCAGAGACTAGCCGTTTGTATACAGTGCTCGAGTTTATGACGAACAAATACTGTATGCAAGATAGAAATAGTTTTAGCATCGACATGGCCAAAGACCACATGTATTAAAACATAAGGTTATAAAACCTATGGCAGCTATCGCATGGCAGTGTGCAGTACATTTTAGTTCTTGGCTGACGATGAGTCTTAAGTCATTGTGTATGGACAACAGGTAGCTTACGGTTATTCAGCATTCATGTATCTGTACCTTGGTGACCAATATGTATCGTACTGTACCTAAAAGCATTTGATAGAATGTACCGAATTTTAGACCTGTCAGATAATTTCTTCGGGTCATTTTTAAGTCCTAAACTGTCACCTTTGCACTTTATTGCTCTTCATATCTTGACATTGTCAGCATATAACAAAACCAACGGTGATAGGAAAGTCATTAACATGTATGAGGGACAATACTGGTCCTCAAACTGTACCCCGATAACTCTAAGTTCACCCATACTCCTTGTTGACGCTCAACTAGGAAGTACTTTATAAAAAGTGATAAACTGCCTCCAACCCCGACATAACTTACATGACGGCTGGTTGTGAGAAACTGTCAAAAGCCTTGCTAATGTTAACGTTGGCTGCATCTATAAGTTACTTCTGATCTTTAAGAGTATACAAGTTACTTATAAATTAGCAAGACATAAATAAAATTTTCTAAAGTCATGCTGCTTTTTGAAGAAATCCGGTTCTAGTCTGTATATTTAAACAACCCTTCCCGAATAATCTTTTCTAAACTTTTAACAATCAGGCTGATTAGGGTTACGGGTCGATAGCTCTCAAGTTTAAGTCTCGCACCTGTTGTGAAGATAAGACTTACAATAACAGTCTAAGCTTAATCATAATCGTCCCCCACCAGTGATGCAGTACTACTGTCTCCTCAAATTGCTGTAATATTTCCTCTTCTCTTAGTCCTTGGGTTTATGTATGAGTATACGTGTTCAGTGTATTCTATAGATTCCTTAACAAGTTTTTCTGTGTACAACCTTCTAGACTTACGGCAGGTCGCGATACAAATATTTCGAGCTTCCCGATGTTGAGGTTTTCTCGTCGGTATCCAGTAACTTAGATCTCTACCACATTCTTTACCTCTTACAGAGGTACTCGTTATTGGCGGTTATATGAAAATCGATGACTAGGGCTGTATGGTCACCTTTGCCTAGGCGTGGTATATAATGAAGGTCTGTAATGTCATCCTGATAGTCGTTCAACATGAGATCTGTTAAGGATGATTCAGAGTCCTGGTAGCACCTAGTTGCTCCTTTCACGTGTTGCGCACACTGTGAGATCGTCGATGATTGTCGATGACATAGGTAGTCAGGATTTTGTTCTGTCCAACTATAAACAAACCTAACTTTACTATTAGGCTTTCTAGTCGTTTCCTGCTAGCTGCCATTCTGAGGCTGGTGGGTAGAAGAAACTTCTTTTGAACTTTCATTTCTAATAGACCACTTTATAGGCTGCCCTTCCTACGTTGGCTTATGTCAGTCAATCTACTCTGAGCTTATGTGAGGTAACTTCACATTGACTTATGTACCGAACAGGTGAGCACCATTTGGTGTGTCTCGATTACGCTTGGTAATACTCCGTTTAGCAGCACTCACCATTGCAATGACTTTGGAGAACAAACTGTTTGTGTCCGAGCAGCATTGCTGACAAAACCGCACACAACTATTTTTAACTAACCGTTTAAAAGCCACATGTGTATGATTCGTGCGAACTTTGTGGTACCATCCTTTGCACTCATTGAACTGCATGACATTTTTCACAAGGTATCGACAGCCTACGCGTTGCTAGTTGCTTTTTTTGGACTGTACAGTCATCAGTCCGAGATTTTTAAAGAGTAACTCAATGTAAACAATACCCAGAGACAAAAGAAACTGATGAGGAGGAAAAAGTAAAATATGTAAATCATTAGATCTCAAAAAGCAAACAAATACAAAAGAAACTAATGTACCCAGAAGGGCAGTTGATAAGTTGCTTTTGAAAAAATCCATATTTTTGGTGATTATTTTGACTGAAATAAGTTCAATTAGGGCCAATACAGTGGTCTTAGTGCGTAATAAACGATTAAAACAATAAAATTAGTCCAGTGAGAAAAAATACACCGTCCTTTTTAAACAACCCGAGAAAATGTCCAATGTTCAAACGGTTCAAATGTTTGTGTCTAGGGAAGAAGTTCATGAGCTGACTTCTTGGCTCACCTCCAGAAATGATCTAGAATATTCCTTTCACTTTAGAATGAAGGGGAAGGATAGATATTTTACTACTGTAAGAAGACTGGACTAAATGATAAAAAATTAAGTGAAAGTTTTCTTTGTCGAACTCGCAAAAAATGAGCCTGAAGGTGATAGGTTCAAGGCTTGCTCTCAAAACATTTCTAGCTCTGTTAGCGTACGGTCTCAAAATGTTATGGTGATAAAGGGTTTTTTACTATGGAAAGTATAAAATCATGATGACGCCTAGACCTTTCTCAAGTTGTGAAGATCCTGAAAGCAAACTTTCGATCTGGATGTATTACTTAGAATCTCTTACATATGAGCTACGATTCACTTTTAAAAGCCTAAATCAAGTTCGTTTTCATCTGATCAGCTTTGAAATCAAGTATGAACCTCATGAGATGTTGAGTTGTCACATTTTTTGAGTATTCTCTCCAGATTTACTATAATAAGTGGCAGTATTATCTCAGAGGAAGACCATCCTTATGGATAAAAAGTGAAGATCTTGGTAAAGGATTCAGTGAGACGTCATTAAGATATTCTGTAATTTGATTAAATAAGAAACCCACCCTGATCTCAAACAGCTGGTTGTTCAACTATAAAAATAGCCAATCCATCATTAGTGACTTAATGCGCATCAACTTGTATACAAAAAATAAGCCTAAATGAGCCTAACATCACAAAAGGAGGGAGGGTGGAGTTACTGACCAGGAAGTATTGATGGTGAGGGCGATAACTTCAATCCACCCGTGTTTGTAGGGACAGAGCATTTTGTATGTACCAGGCTCTTTATAATTGAGAATAAGACAGTCAATCTGAGATATAGATTGTCTTCCTACGCTCACCACTCAGACTCATGTTTCCAATATTATGCTGGATTAGCTATTCTACTAAGACAACCTATAACATGCTAACTCGGACTTTTACACTAGGATTGCGTGGCCGACATCGGATGGACAAAAAAAAAAGAAAAAAGACAATAAAAGATATAGTCACTAGTATTCTTAACACTACACCCTCTATATACACACCCTTCTAATAAACCGCTTCCCTTGTACCAACCTTGACTTCCTTTCCTTCATGTGAGCTTACTCCAACTTGTTAAACATCACAACTCATTGTTCTTTATTAGTACATTCTCTAATAAGGAGCCTCGGACTTCACTTCACTCTAACAAGACAAAATATGAATTTATTCTAATTTATTCTACCTCTGTCCGTACTACTACTTAATGTTAAGCAACCTTTGGCGCTCATATCCAAGTGCCTTGCTGCTCTTCTGTTTCTCTTTTTTTCTTTTTCAGAATCTTGCTCTGAGAGCACAGCTATGAAACTTCTGACGTTTGGAGCAAATTTGACGTACGCGTCCTCTCAAGGTCATAGTTTACAGCAAGCGCTCTACGATTTCACTTTATAACAACTATAAACTTAATAAGTTGGGAAGCATTTTGCGAACCAAAAAATGTTGTAATTTATAGATCATGCCTGTAAAAACGGTGTGTACCTGCACATGCAGAAATATATTATTATTATTATTGAGTCTGATGACAGAGCTCATGCGACCACCCATTTCAGCGACCTTCGAGAAAATGAGAGATATTACGTCTAAAGTTCTCCTGAGGTCTAAAATGAAGGTGCATATATTCATCGCAGCCAGTAGATTGGGGTTTCATAGTGGCCATTCGCAAAACAGAGGCGCTCGGGTGAAAGCAACTTTGTGGATATTATGTACCATGTAGGGGTTCATGAACCATGGAGTAAAATAATTTTGAGACCATTGAAAGAAATGTTATAGCCCGGTGATTTTGCGGATTATTGTTCAACCCTCCGTTGGAGGTCAAGTTTAGGTATGTCACTTACACAGTTCTGGGACCAAGCCTTAGTCTTGGGGATGTGAAACTAGTAAATCGAGTGTTGTTGTAAGTAGAGAGGCCTATTCTGTCAGTATATCGTCTGATTAAGGAAATATGTTCTCCCTTGACTTCTGCACTTTGTGACGAACTAATTCAGTATTTAGATTTACTATTGAAATTCCTTCTGCTCTACTTTTAGTTCAAGCAATTTATTCATTTCTTCGGGTAGAATTAAGACGTTGACATGTGCGAAAATGATATTTCCATTGCCAAACATAAATATTTCTT